TTGCTTATTTAATTATTATAACTATCACTACTCCAGAATGTAGCAGATTCACGGGGCATACAGTAGTTGGTATCTTTTCGTCATTATTGCTGTGTATTGGACTGTGGCTTAGTGGTGAATGGGGCAAACAAGGTTTGGGATACCCAGCGATTGGGGCACTGATTCTGGTCATAACCCAGTCCTTGTCGCGACTTGTAATACTTTACAAATTCTTATTTAGTACCAATGGCTAATAAATTATCAGTTTACTATCAGAACTGTAGGGGATTAAGGACGAAACTACAAACTACTTATATGAACATTTTATCGGAGTCGTACGACGTTATTATCCTAACGGAAACTTGGTTGAATAGCAGTGTTGAGGATAGTATGGTTATTGACTCTCGTTATGTAGTTTTTCGCTGCGACCGAGATCTCGTAGCAACCAACAAGCGGGATGGCGGCGGGGTGCTGGTTGCAGTGCGGCGCGGCTTGACTGCGCGCCGTGTTGCTGTGGCCAGTGCTCAGCAGGTTATTTCCCCTAAGGTAGAATATGTATTATTGCAGATCTCATCTAATAGGCGTGATAGGTACCATTTAATATGTGGCCTCTATATACCTCCTGCGCAGCCATATGAAGTAATATACTTCATATGGCTGCGATGGGGATTTAAAAAGCTCTTATATAAGAGCTTTTTAAATCCCCTGCAGACTGAGTTACTATTAAATCAGGTTGATAGTTTTTATGTTGCTGGAGATTTTAATATTTTCTCTCTAGATTGGAAGCTAGATGAGTATTCTAGGATAGTGCCAAATCTAACTCACGATAGTGGTGATATAGATAGCTATTTAATTAACTATCTCTCACTATTGCAATGTTCACAATTTAATATATTGAAGAATATCAATGACCGTACCTTAGACCTATTTATATCTAACTCATCAGATTGCACGTGTGGGGCGGTGCTGTCACCCTTGGTTAGAGTTGATGAGAATCATCCTCCGTTCTTTGTTGTTGTTTCCTTGAATGTAGTACATGCCAACATGCCAACGAGCGGACTGCCTAGATATCGATACCACGAAGCAAACTATCAAGCAATTAATGACGATATAGAGGCAATTAGCTGGTACCCACTACTTGGTGAACTGCCGGCGGAAGAGGTGGTTGATACTTTTTATGAACGCATATTTGAAATTATTGCCAAAAACGTTCCTCTTAGAAAACAAAAATCTACCGAATACCCTATATGGTTTACCAAGCCTCTAATTCATATATTTAGGGATAAAAACAAAACCTGGGTTAAGTGGAAGAAGTTCGGGAATTTGGTAGACTACGAACAATTCTCCATTTTACGCAAACGTTTCAAAAAACTTTGCGAGGAGTGTTTTAATAACTACATTCTTTCGGTGGAAAATAACATACGCGAAGACTTGAAGCACTTCTGGGCATTTGTTCATAGACATAATAATTGGGGTTTCCCTCGCATAATGAAGTACAACCACATGGAGTCTGACGATCCTACCACAGTTTGTGATTTATTCATTGATTATTTTGGTTCTGTCTACGAGAAGAGTACTGCTTCCGGTTTTGATATTAATGCTCAGCACACTCATAACATAAAGGGTAATTTCATAATCTCGGATCTGAACTTTTCTAAGTCCCAGGTAGTTGCAAAGTTGAAATCCTTGGACATTACCAAGGGCTCAGGCCCAGACAACATTTCTCCGCTGTTTCTTAAGTTTACGGCGGACAACATTAGTGTTCCACTAACTATTGTTTATAATAAATGTCTCTCGGAGGGTTTTGTCCCTAACATATGGAAGGCTGCCAATATTGCGCCTGTGCACAAAGCTGGAGCAAAAGATGACGTATCGAATTATCGCCCAATTTCATTGCTTCCTGTCTTGTCCAAGGTTCTCGAGAAACTGGTACATGATGCTATTTACGCTGACCTGCATAATATCATAATACCACAGCAGCATGGATTTGTTAAGCAGCGTTCGACTGTCACCAACCTCTTGGTATACACTAATTACTTATTTACTAGCATGGATCAGCGTGTGCAAGTGGACACTGTGTATACAGACTATTGCAAGGCCTTTGACAAAGTTGATCACCGATTGCTCCTGCAGAAGCTAGCGTTCAACGGAATACGAGGCAACCTTCTGAGGTGGTTTTGCTCTTATATTTTTAACAGGACACAGAGAGTAGTAATCAACGGTCATACGTCTGGTACCATAATTGCTACGTCTGGCGTAGCACAGGGCTCCATTTTAGGACCTTTGCTGTTTGTTTTGTTTGTTAACGATATTGATAAATGTTTTTTACACAGTAACTTCCTACTTTATGCTGATGACCTAAAAATCTTCAAGCAGATCAGAACTCTCAATGACTGTCTTCTTCTCCAGATGGACCTTGATCGATTCAGTGATTACTGTGTCCAAAATAAGCTGTATTTGAGTGTTTCAAAATGTAAATTTATAACTACAACAAAGAAGAAAAACGTTATCAATTTTAACTATTCACTAAATGACAAAAAAATGGAGAAAGTTAATACCATTCGTGATCTAGGTATACTCTTGGACTCTGAGTTACATTTGCATGACCACATAAATCACGTCATATCCAAAGCATATCAAATGTATGGCTTCATAATGCGTACTTGTCAATAGTTTAAGAAACCGGATACCTACATTCACCTTTTTAAAGCCTTGGTTAGGTCACAGCTTGAATGCGCTACAGTCGTTTGGAACCCATTTTATAACAAGTATAAAAACAACTTAGAATCAGTGCAACGCAAATATCTCAAGCGTATTAATTATAAATGCTCGCGATCTAAACAATCATATGACCATCTTTTGCAGAATTTTTCGATACCAAAACTGGAGTTGCGGAGGACGCTTTTTGATATATCCTGCTTGTATAATATATTACATAATAATTACGACTGTAATGATTTGACTGACAATGTTACATTTAGAATACCTAGCAGTTCTCACCGTATCCGTGACGCTTACCCACATAAACTATTCTGCCCCGGTTATGTCAATACTAACGCTGGTCTGCGTGCCCCGTTGAACAGAATAATGAACATCTTTAATGAAAGTTTGAGCTCACGTGATATTGACATTTTCCTGCTCTCAGACACTTCTTTCAAGACCAAAGTATATGATCTTTTATCATAATATGTGTATTACCTTGGTACGCCTCGACAAGCTTTTTGTTTCTACTGGATACTTATTTGTGTAGTGTACAACATATTTTTCATTTAGTATAGAAAAAGAATAATAGAAATATATATAAAACAAAACAATCCTAGTATTAATCTGTGGATAATGTTGTTGGTTGTACAATAAGTATAACATAATTGTAAGCCTTTCACTTAACATATATTGTACAACTGTTTGTTATCCCTAATAAAATAAAATAAATAAAATAAAATAAACTTCCATCAAAACCCGCAGTACCAAAAGATATGATCAGATTGTTCACTGTTAATTCACGATTATTCTGTCTCTTCGCCAACAGTTGGCACTTTAAATAATAGAAATAATAATACTCCCCTTGAAGAATTACCTTTAAAAAACTTAATCCTGATATTAATTAACTCGCTGTATGAGTGTAACTTTGTTTCTATGCTGACCAACGCTGCACCAGAAATAAATATAATTCATTCTAAGAAAACCAATAATAGACCAGTCAATCCTAATACAGTGGTATTGTCGTAGTTTGACAAAAAAAGTGATCCTATCTATTTAATCAAGAAACTTGGCTTCGTCCAGGTTCTGTTGCCTATGAGAAGATATGTCTGATAACCACTTAGATTAGAACAAAAAGGGTAGATACAGTACGCTCATACTTGCATCAAACAAAAACTGATCCCACGGCAGCGCGAACGGGACGACGAGATCCGCGTCACTGCATTACCGACCCGAGCGAAACAGCACGTTAAGTTTCAACGGCAGCGCGAACGAGACGGCGAGATCTGCGTCGTTCACACTTATGTCGTTTGCATGTCAAGTTGTGACTAAAGCGATTAGGGTCGTGGACCACAATTTGTGCGGATCACTTTTGTGAGGCTAGTGCCGTATCTACCGTTTTTGTTTTAATCTAAGGATAACCATGGTGATGTTGCCTTGTTTGTCAAAAACTTTCATGTTTTCTCATATTTTAATAAACATGACACACACACACATTATACATATACTAACATAAACAATATTCTATACCCTTTTAGGGTCCCGTATCTAAAAAGGAAAAAGTGAAATCCTTTTATGATCACTTTGTTGTCCATCTATCTGTCAAGACCCTTTCTCTCGGAAACGCGTGGAGGTATCAAGTTGAAATTAAAACCTTTTACTTAAGTCTACAATACCTTGAAGCTGTGAAAAAAACTAAATTCTAAGTTCTCTATCCCACCTGATATTAAGTGTAAATGGAGCCCAGTCACTAAGATAGCTGACAAGGAAGAAAAGTGTGCCGCTCAATCCATCCGCTCCTTGCTAGCCTGAACTCAGGCGCCTACCTAGTGGTGCTTTCATGGAAACTTACTCACCGATAGAAAAACACAACACCACCACAATATAGTGTTATTTTCTGTGGTCTTCTATAAGGTGGAAGTCCCAGACAGGCACTTGAATTAGAGCAGAAAATCCCGTATTTCCACGTTTCGCTGCGTAGGAACCCGGTAATTTTGCAATGCGCATTATTTTAATAAATATTGAACAAATTTACAGAAATTTGAGACACATTTACAGCCTGCAAAGATATCGAATAATATACTTATATTATTTATTTCATACAAACACAACAACAACACCTTTTTGAAGTGAAGTAAAATACCATCGACGTTTCTATTTTCGACATTACCTGCATCTCTATACGGGACGTAAAAGCCAAGTTTATTCAACCGTCCGTGTGCGAGGTTCATTATTATTCTAAGGTTCTTATCAATTCTTGGGACACAAATACACAGATTTATTATTTGATACTATTTTATTATGAATCACAAATAAATAATAAGTATTCTAAGGCGCTATCTTTCGCTTAATGTTATATTGAAGATTATGAGGATCCGCAAAGGATCCTCTGCGATGCCAAGCCACACATAAGCCAGCACAATAGCAAGTAAATGTAAGTGAAAGTATAAATCCTAGATATATGGAATACCGAATAAAATCTGTAAAATAAAATAAAAAGATTAGATAATGTCAACGTTAACAAATTGTACCTTTCTAGGGTGACCGTAATCTCAAAACTTTGATGACCTTAGTTATTATTTTGAGCAGGGGGGCAACTGCCTAACGAGATTGCTATAACGGTCGCTATCGCTTACGGTTCCATTTTGTTATTTCCGACCTCCGTTATTATTTGTTATTTATTACCAATGCCAAAGAAAAAAAAGCCGATCAAAGCGCTGGCGCTTTTTTTGTCTTTTGCATTGGTAACAAAATTATGAAAGAAAATGAGCGTGAGGTATTTGAAAACTTTCGGAGGTCAGAAATAATAAAATGATAGCGGTAGCCTTAGCAATCCCGTTAGGCGATTGGCCCCAGTATTTTCTGTGATATTTGTTTGCTTGAAAATAAGTGGGCTTTGAATGTGGCCTGGTTTATGCTAGCTTGATCGTCACATCAGCGTACACCATGAAAGCAGTCTTTAATTTACTAGAAAAAAATCCACGCGGACCAGGCAGCGGACGGGAGCTTTTTTCTAGTAAACTTTTCTTTAGATTTAAACATCTAGCAGTTAAATGCTTAAAAAATAAATAAAAACAGTCTTTAATTATTAAACTAAAGAGGTATTTTTTTTTTATTATTGCACTAATAAGACACTATTTATGCAGGATTTAATAGCATAGTATGTAACAACCTCGAGTTTGATCTGGGGTAAGCTATCTTAAATGGACATGGAAGATAGCCTCGCAGTTAGCCGCTTTTCCATTTTAAGCACCTACGATATTTGTGGTGTTTAAGTGCGTACGATTGATTACACGCTGTTGCATATTAAAATGAAATAGCGGCTAGCCGTGTATTGCGTTCATTGTCGATCTTGATATTCATCATGTTTTACATGCGGTAGTGGTCGGGATTTAAAAACACTATATAATGTTTTTATTTATTTTTAAACATTTGACTGCTAGGTGTTTTAAATCTAAAGAAAAGTTTTACTAGAAAAAAATCCACGCGGACCAGGCAGCGGACGGGACTCGAACCCGCACCCTTCGCAATCCGGGCGAATGCACTGACCAATTATGCTATCACGGCCCTCATGACCGAGTCGAAATTTTCCTAGCCTTAAGCTGCAGGGCAGCGCCATCTCTTCGCATTGTAGGTAACCCACAATGTCAAATGAATACTTTTTCAAGTATTAAATATTTGAAAGAAGAAATAGCAACTATAGTTATGTTTTTATTTATTTTTAAGCATTTGACTGCTAGATGTTTTAAATCTAAAGGAAAGTTTTACTAGAAATATTTTTTTTTCTAATTTCGACGCGGTCATGAGGGCCGTGGTAGTATAATTGGTCAGTGCATTCGCCCGGATTGCGAAGGGTGCGGGTTCGAGTCTAGTCCGCTACCTGGTCCGCGTAGATTTATTTCTAGTAAAACTTTTCTTCAGATTTAAAACACTATATTACTTGTACGCCCATGGCGTCAAAGAGAAAGAAATCACCACAATTTTACAATACATTAAGCAAAGTACATAGCATAGTAAGATTGTTCATCCAAGATGTATACAGTAGCTCTTCTTGTCGCCAGAAGACGCTGCCTGACTGACAAAATGACAATAAGTCATGCGTCATGGTGACTAAAAATTAGGGGTGAAATGGTACATTAGGGACTGGTTAATCAACCTTAATTAGAGTAACTATTTATTGATGACATCACAGTAAACTAAACAGAATAATACTATAAATAGCTTTCATGGCTGTTTATTTATCTATTCTATGTTAAGATTCTTGAGGATGGCGTATGCTCAGCAGTGGGCGTCTTGTGGCTGAGATGAAGATGATGATAATATATATCTATTTGTCACTTTGTATTTAAACGCATTACACAAGTATCTGTTATTGCAAGCCTTCAATACTTATTTTGGGGTTTAGTGTAAGAACTAGTTATATACCTATTTATTATATTAAGCTGACCACGGTTTTCAAACAAATTTTTGTTGACCTTTTGTAATAAAATCAACAGACATGACAGATGTCCATGATTACATACCTTGATTGTGGATTTTAGCCATTGAAACAATTTTAATAGTATATTTGCGTATTTTTATGTTATTCATAGTGCAATAATAGTTTCCTTCTTCACCTCTAGTAGCTCTTAATATATACAAAGTGTTGTAAATGTCAATAGTTAGGTGAGGTTCTTCCTTATTAGCCATATTGTTTCTGAAAATAAAGTATTTTTTAATACTATAATAAGCTTACTTCAATTCTTATCACAACTCCTTTTAAGTTGTTATTTGAAGTTTGTAAATACCTTTACTTGCACCTTCGATCAACAACTTAAATAAATAGACATAAGTTAAATATTATTTAAAGAGAGCTTATGAGAATATTTTTAAGTAATTGCTCTCACCTATATGAGTTGTTTAATAAATTATTATCCTTGTACCATTTAATTCTGGGACTCGTGCCTCCTACAGTGCAAGTAAGGGCTATATGACCATTTTCTGCCATTTGAACCAAAGTTCCATTAATGTCATCATAACTGGCTGTTGTCTTAGTACTGTTTGATGCTAAAATTATGAAACCCGGGTCAGTTTAATTGTGGTGTGCAAGCTTTGTTTAAATCATTGATAATACTATTATTAAAAAAAAAGCCCAATTCATTATTGAAATTAGTAGTAGGTATCATATGATTTTTCTGCTCTTGCTCATTTTGTCAATTCTTAAATTGTTGATGATCTTCTGAAAAGCTTACATGATTTCAACAAACAAGTAGATGTCATTTCATAATCCGGTATTTGTCTTATGATCTTGCTTAGCAATGGACACGTCTCGTAAATTTTTTCTGATCTACAGGATATAGCGTAATTATCCATAAAATCCAAAGTAACATTGTGTACCGAAAACCGTTCTTCAACCTTTTACAAATTTAATAAATGACAAGGAAGGTGTCCGTTATGATAGCGTACACCAGATCAAACTCGAGGTTGTAACGTGCTATTGAATTTTGCGTAAATAGTGCCTAATTAGTGAAATAATCAAAATCTACCTATTCAATTTAGGAAATAATGATCGATTTTTCAGCGCTATAGATTCACTAGTATTTTATATTAACAGAAGTAGAATTTCACGCGCTACATAATGACGTATAATATATAGATAGGTTATATATTATGCTACATTACTATTAGATTTTAAAATTGCACAAGTAGTCCCTGCCCCAACTTTCCTTGGCAACAGCCGCCAATAGAGTGCACTAAAGTGGTTTCTTTCAATCTCATGCATATAGCAGATTACATCTCTCTCTTTATCCTCCACGTGCCAACGGTGTCAGCAACTGTCAAAATTAGTAATAACTTAATATTTTTGCATTAATTTCTTTAAAACTTTACTTACGAATGAAATGACACGTTTTTCATGTCTCTAATAATTCCCGTGTAATTTCTGTACTATTTAAAAACTCACAGGGCTTTTTGTCTAGAAATACGTAAAATATTGTAGCGAAGTGAAGCCGTGGCGGAAGAGCGTGCTAGGGTAGTGTTTTCTGTTGGCCTGGGCATAGGAATGGGCGGCACGAACGGCGATGTGGCGGGCGAGGTAACAATCAGCACGGCATGGTTTGAAGGCCGTCACGTTCACCACCACTACCAGATAGGGTATAAATGGAGAATTACAAAATAAGTACGAGAAGTTGGTACAGAATGTATCCAGAAAAAAAAATAGCATACCGAAATGAGTATCAACACTTTCGGTAAAATTTTTGTTAATATTCAACCAGAATTGAAGAAAAAAGTCAATGTGGATAGAATTTCGCTGTGAAAACAACTAACCTATTCTAATAAAATATAATTAAAATAAAAAAGCATTACAATGCTTAGTGCTGGCAAGTTCATGCTCAAAAAAATTTAAAATTCCTTCATACATTAAGAGTACTTGCGAATTTTTGAGAGACCCTTTCGAATGTGAATTTACCAAGATTGACGCGCATACCAAAAATCTATATATAATGAAGCTTTTTACCTGGAAACCCGGTGGAACAGCTTCGATTTTGATGATTTTTTTGAAATTATACTTCTTTAGCCGCGTTATGAAAAAATTATGAGAGTGAAATTTTAAGATGCGCGCGCATCACTGTAACACAAAAGTAACATAATGAAGTTAGCCGCGGGTGCGTTATGAAAAAATGATGAGAGTGAAATTTTAAGATGCGCGCGCAACGTAACACCATGAAGTCGGCCGCTAAACCGCACATTACTCGTAAGTCTCGAAAAAAAGCTTCCAACAAAATAGTAATAGGATCTCTTAGTCGCACATGTTGGGACGCTCGTCGCCTCTGATCACTGTTTTCATATTTATAATATTTATTATTTAATAAAACTGTAAGAATGTGCGGGAGGGCGAAGGGGGAGTGTGAGAAGACTGACGTCAAATAAAGATAGGCGTAGGTAGAAAATACTTATATTGCGATTACTATTCAATATTTGTAGGAGAAATGGTATTACTGTATCCCACAAGGGTGGAAGTACATGTATACTATTATCAAGACACTAAGACGTCCCACGTGGTGGCAGCGTATAGCGTGCAAGACAATAGGCCCTACCTACGAAGCGATGACTTGGTCAATTTCCCAAGAACACCTTATACAAGTGGTGTCTGTATAGTATAGCACGATTCTCACAGCGCCATCTAGTAGCGGTCGGCGTGATGATATTTGATCCTATGATGTGCCATACAATCGGTGTCGGTATAGGATAGCGCGATTCACATGCGTACAGCGCCATCTAGTAACGGGCGGCGTGATGATATTTAATACTATGGTATTACAAAACTTATTTACTTAGATTAAATGAGAAAAATCATCAGTATATTGTTTTAAACTGAACTTAATTGACTGTGTTAACTATCCTTTTCCAGTCCTTTTATTATTTTATTGTAATTATTAATTATTTGCATGCAATTAAAAAATATTTTTAATGATGCTAAAGAAGTATAACTTCTCACGCGCGTACATAAGTTACACGCATCCATTTTTTTAATAATTTTGTTTTTTTATATTATTTGAAATCAGAAACCTCTGGAGAGGGGGAAATATTTTTTTATATTGTTCAAACAATTTTTATGACATTTTTGGAAAAAAATGTTTTTGTATAAAATATCAATTGAAAACTCACAAAAAATATGTTTATGTTATTGTTTTCATATTGTTATCACAAATAATTTTAATTTACATGTTATTATATCAAAAACTTTTAAAAATAATTAATTATAAGATCTTTCATGTAATATATATATACATATATATATATATATACATGACATAACGCTGATATACATAAAAAAGTTAGGATATATTTCATGATATATAAGAAATTAATAGTTTCATTATTAACATATATAAAAAAAATATTAATAAAAAAAATATATGATATATATACAGGGTGAAATTGAATGTTTTAATGAAACTTCGTGGGAATGTTGGGTTACGTATATAGAGTATCTCTGAATTTTTTCGGATTTTTTAAAAAATGATTTAAAATAAAATTTTGTTTTTTGACGTGACAACGTCTTAAATTAGGTTGCGGCTGGGAGTCACTTATGAAAAAGTGTAACGCTCGGTAACGTTACGATGAGTTTAAGTTTACATGTACAATGTTTTAGTAAACAAAATATATTTCTATAGTTAAAATTTGTGCAATTCTTATTTTCATTCAATTCCTTGTTCCTATTGTGCAATTTAATTATATTCATATCAATAAATATTCTACCGAGAAAAAGACGTTGTCACGTAAAATCTTCGCCCGTAAAACCGACTTTACAGGCAACCATTTTTTATTTACATTTTATGTTCATTTAATGTATATTATTTAAGTGCTTACATAGAGGTAAACACTAAATCTATTTTTGTTATATTTTAAGTCCTTTCCTCCTTTTGGGTACTAAATAATTATTCTTTTAAAACATGCATACAGAATAAGTAAAAAACAAGTAATAAGCACTACTAAAAAAGACGTAAAAACAGGAGACGGGCGGCCGGGTTGAATACCTTCCTGCCTACCTATCTAGGTATGCGCGGTGCACAGCGCAGTGAGCGAGCGGAGTCTCAAGCGCGCGTGCGTATCTTTTAAATTTGTGACAAGACAAGATTTGCAAATAATGCCTTGATTAGTTCTTGTTCTGTGCCCTGAATATAAGAATTTGGATATGGTGTGTTGTTATTGCGAGTGTCACGGAATACTCAGCAGAGCCACAAGGCTTTACGAAAGTAGGTTTGGTGATTTATTGGGAAGTTATAGAGAAAAAAATTAATAGGTACATCGGTCTTGTAAGTACTTTTGAATACATGGTAATAAATTTCATTCTGACCCAAGTATTGAACTGCAACAAGTATTTCTTTTTGTTTAACTTTTGCCTATTTCCAATCGTGACAAAATGATTATTAACTTTTTAAGTTTTTCTCTGCTTAAGAGAAGATGACATTTGTGCTTATTATTTCAATTTCAATAAAGGCATCTAAGACGATTTTATTGTATTGTGTGGAATCAAACGAGTCAGCTGAGCTCTGTGTACGTACCTACTCACTCAACGGCTGGCGGGCGCGGTCGGTCGTTGACCCGCGGTGGAATTTTACTGTTTTTCCGTTTTTTACAAGTGCTTATTTATTAGTTGTTTTTCACTGGATATGTAAGCATGTTTGTTTAATATGAATAACTACTCAAAAGGAGGAAAGGACCAAAAAATACACAAAATATAAATAAATACATGAAAAAAAATACTTCAAAAAAATCCGAAAAAAATCAGGCATACTCTATACTCGTAACCCAACAATCTCACGAAGTTTCATTAAAACATTCAATTTCACCCTATATATATATTGTGTTAGAGGCCGCGCTCTCAAGGATCCCGAGGTCGATTCACTCAAAGCAGCCTACAATTTTGCTTCCAATGCCTGTAAGAAGGCTTACATCAGAGCGGATGCCCAGCGCGTTGCACGTATTGGCCAGGAACGCATCCTACGCTCCCGTAGCTACTGGCGTTTGGCCAAGGCCGTGCAAAAAACCTTCTGCCAGCCCTCGCTGCCACCTCTGAGATGCCCAGACGGAACACTAGCTCATAAGCCGCAGGAGAAAGTCGATTTACTGGCAAAACTCTTTGCGGCTAACTCCCGAATACACTACCACCATCATTACCTCACTGTGGCACAACGATGCCTGATATTAAAATCAGGCAGTGTGAGGTTCGTGCCGAATTGCAATCACTCGACGTCCGGAAAGCTAGTGGACCTGATGGCATCCCAGCAGTAGTACTGAAAAAATGTGCAACGGAGTTTGTTTTTTCTCTTTATTTGTGGCTACAAACAGTCATACATTTTAATATAATTGTTCTGTGGTTACAGTGAAATTATAAGAGACGACCTACAGTGCCAGCAATTTAACTTATTAGTTACAGAAAAACATTATAGAACAAGTATTGTACTTAAAAAAAAACATGAGAAGATAAAACATATAAAAATGCAAAAATATTTTGATTTAGATGTTGTCTTTTAAATTTAGTTTAAGAAATTTCTTTATATTACTATGTGAAATATTCAATATATCAATGTTATTGAAGTTATTATTATAATTGTTGGTGGAACGATAAATAAAGGAATTTCGCGTGTATAATTTAGTGAGCGGTGGAGGAACAAATAGTAATCGCTTGCGAGAGGACCGCATAGGCATACGCACACGGTTCACGAAAGATATCCTACTTAAAAGCGCAGAAGAATCTATTTGATCGTTGAGTATTTTATACAAAAATATCATATCGAACATTATACGTCTATTATGAAGTGATAATAACTTATATTCTTTCAATAATGCCTCATATGATTCATTTGTATGTTTAAAGCGATAATTAAGGTGTTTTACAAATATTTTTTGTAGTCTTTCAATTCTATTGATATGAACCTGATAGTATGGACTCCAAACGGTGCTACAGTAGTCCAGAATTGACCTTACAAAGGAAGAGTATAAAATTCTAAGCGTAATAATTTTTTTAAAAGGTTTACTTATTCTGAGAATAAATCCTAGACTTCGGAATG